AGTGTGGTGGCTGAGAAAACGATCCTGTTAGAAAAGTGCCAGAAGGAGTGCTCAGACGTACGTTTAAGATTTTCCATCTTATGACACTATTTTAAACATTTTTTGTGTATGATAGCTTTTCTTATGGTTCCGATTGGTGAGTGTTTTGAATTCGACAATAGAATGTTTAGATAACCTGCCTTATACATATATAACCTACAATACATAGAGCTAGCTCCCTCTTCCACTTTTTCCACTCTTGAGGAACCAGTCCTATTCGTGGCATCTTCAGGTGTAATCCACGTTTTCTTGAAGCTGCTGCAGAGATTGATTTGTTGTTAGGGACGTTTGTTGTTCGTCAGAATATTCTTTATTAACTCCTTGTCGATGTTTGTAGATTGTGCATTGTCAAATCGGTCAACATTTAACCAGCTTGAATTATTATGCTTGAGAAGCGCAGTAGTTAGAGATGCTGTGCATTAATGCATACTTGGTTGCTAACCCGACCGAAGCCGACCTTACCATATCTCTCTGGGAAGAACGATCAACAAGCACTGTGGACCACTTATGCTCAAAGCAATCTTGTAGAGCCTTTCCAGGATTCCAGTGGTAATCATCTACACTAGTGTTAAAGGACATGCATGAGAAATACGCCTTCAAGTGATAGCGGACTCTATTCGCAAAGCTGCAGATTCGTGAATGACGGATTCCCTAAAGGAATGTTAGAATCTAAACAATATGCGAAGTAGAACAGTTGAGAAAAAGCAATCTTAGAGATCAATGCGCCCATTGAAATGTGATGTCTTTCAGAATTCCAGTGACCTTCAGGCTAATATACATGATTGACGACCCATTTAACACCACTCGTTGATCTTTTCAGCGCTCATTCATCATAAATAAAGTTTCCTTCCGGTTCCAGCTGAAGGAACAGTAGCGTGATTAGACAACTGCGGTCTCGCCTAGTAGAGCATTGTAATGTTTTCTTTCCTATGTTTCCTATGTTTTTTTTGTTTGTTTCCTAATATATCGATATTGTCTCCCACTTGTGTCAAAAGTTTTAGGATTTAAGTCCCGTTTTCAGTCATTTTGTAATTTTCACTTTTGAACAAATTTAAAACTGAAGCAGTGTTTCGGGAAAATTGTTCACACCTCCAAATGAATAGTTGGACCTGTCCTACAGTTCAATCAAGTCGTCTAGTTCTCAAGTACTTCTCGGCAAAGCATCACCAGTTCTCTAAAGACTGAGTTTGTCGCGAATGTTTTAAAATAGTTTTTAAAGCCAACTTTTTTAACCTTGGTACGAATGATTTGTTCTTGTTGTATTGGTAAGCCAACACGATTTCGTTATAAAAAAAATTTCGATTTAAGTGGTTGTGGTTTAGGGTGGGATCATTTCAGCTCTGAAAAAGGCTCAGGTGCCAAAACGTCAGCCGTAGGCAAATTTAGCACCATCCTTGTATTAGCTTACCACTTATCTTCTTGGATACTTTTATAAAGCGTCCTCACTGATTGTGCGCGCTCCATCCAATCTCCATTTCTTCGGAGTTTTGCCGATTGTGGTTCCTTGGAGTCCAGAGGTCAGCTTGGCCAAAGTCTGCCTCAGGTCGTCACCACCACAGGTAGTCGCCGCCCTTGTGGATCGGAGGGAGATTTGCCACCATGCGACCACTTTAACACCAGGACGGTGGTGCATGCTGGTTTTGGTTTAGTCTTAGCTGGATTTCCCAATGGACACGTCGGACTCCTCAACCTGAGGGATCCTGCTGGAGGGATGAATCCGCTCGATGTACATCGTAGCCATACACCCAGGAACACGTCACAGCTACGATGAGGCGGTAAACCGTTGGGAGGATTAGGTTATTAGTCCAACAACACTAGGCTTTCCGACAAAAAAACGTGGCAAGATAAACTTTGGTTAAAACAAAAAGTGCCAACTGCAGCATTAGCTCAATATTTGGTATTATGTATATGAAAGAAGAGCTAGAATATCGGCATTTCTGGCGACAAAGCATGTGCTGTGAGAACTGACTCTGTAGCCACATAACTGTTTTCAATTCTCCAGCAAAGGTGATCCAGAATGGTTCACTTATGATGGAAGGTCTGCTTATTCCACGCAATTATAGTTGCATCGCCGTGCGGATCAAGCAGATCGAATTTCTCAAATACTCTCGAAAGACAGTGAGAAATTGAGATTTGAACTGAATACATGGAAATCAGACGCCGAACGCAATCTAATGGAAATTTCAAGATTGAAAGGTATTTATATTTTCAATCCTCTATCTATATATTTTTATCTACGACGTACATCACTCTGGATTTAGAAGAACTGAGAAAATCCGGCGCCCCTCCATCAACGAATTCCGTTCAGACGCAAACCCGGAATAAAAGTAGGGTTTCCGGATTTATTTTTCCTATGGCTTCTTTTAGGGTTTTGAACTCTTATTGTTTTAGGCGAAGGTATTACACCAAGGGAGTCTCCTCTACACTCGAACAGTCCTACCACGCGAATCCTTACTGGAAAGGCTACTCCGAATGATTACGGTGACCGTTTAGCATTTCCCATTCGCATTAGTGCAGCGGATATTTAACATTTACATAAATTGGACTAGCTTGCTGTGTTTCGATCCAACTATAGAGAAAACATAATATTACTTTATAGTTCCGATTTTAGTTCATTTATACTGTGCTGCTAGTAGATTTTCTCATGATATTTCCCTACTTTCTCAGCTGTCAATACTCCTTCGGAGTCGACTACTAAGGGACAAGCAGATACGCAGCGTCTTAGTGGACCACCAGAATCTCATATTATGCCAACTCCACCTGAAGAGCCTGACTCACCACGATTACCTAGAGTGGGTGTATCGGATTGCCTACATAACACCCACATAGGTACACTAACTTGAGTTTCATTTTCATTAAAGGTGATCCCAATTTAGGAACGAAAAGTGGAGTGTTCTCCAAAAGCATCTTTCTTTTCGGCTCCATCTTCAACAGTGCGTCATGTTCATGCCACAACAGCCGGGTGGAGAAATACTCCTTCCAGTGAATTAGTCCTTAGAGATCGTTCGGCAAGCAGATTGGATGGCAGAGCAGCATCTCCACTGTCGTTGATCGAAAGTGAAAAAATTGTTAGCGTTTTCTTCTTGTGTGAACCTTAAATGTCTCTAGGTTTATCATTTTTCTTTAATGAAGTTTCTCATACTTCAAATGCATTTTTTAGGATGTTAGCAAGCCTGATGAAGTAATTGAAAAGCAGATCTCAAGGAAATCTCGTAAGTGGTCGTCTTAACACAGTTTTCGTTATCATTTGGCTATGATTACTATATTCTTGCACAGTTATTTACCATACATTAGGAGCAGAGGACTTCCCTGGTGTTAGTGGTAGTAGCAAAGGCACGCATCGCAATAAGCGGAGCAGTCGATCGAAGGTCGTATAGTTGATCCTCAGTTTTATCTTATTATCCATACATTATCCATACTTTGTACTGTCAACTGAATCTTTTATAACGAGGTCCTTTTCTCCTGTCGCTTTGTATTTGCCTGTTTCATAAATCTCATTGAAGTAAGTTCCACTACAGTGCTTTTTGCATTGACTGGACTAACTTGTACAACTTATGCTTCCTCCAAATTTAGGAGAGACAAGGAAGCAGTGGATCTCATCGTATGCGTGAATCTAGAAGTCCAAGTTGCAACGATACTCATCAAGCTCGATCTCCGCTTCTAAGTCCGTGACAACATTATGTTCTTCTGCCATCTATAGTTCATGTTCTTTAGATTGGTTCCTTTTTTAGGAAGAAGTATGTCAAGAGAATCTAGGAAGAGGCAAAGTAGTAGATCCAGCCACAGTGACAGAAACGTGAGTCTTTCGAATGACCTGTGCTATGTTTAGCACCGAATCTTCGTCATGTAATTATTCAATGAAGAACATTCACAGGAACCAGCTCACTTGTTTACAAACTCTCGTGATGTACCATTTAATGGACCGATTTCACTATCTGACGATGGTGGTTCCAACTGTCGAACACAATATTCTCCCCAAACTAAGTGAGTTCCAAATCATCTGTCAATCATTCGTTCATAATAATGATGAGTTTCAGGAGGTTCAATTTCTCAAGCTCACCACTGCCATGGCATCGTAACGAATCTAGCGATCAATTTAACAGTCGAAGTAGACCCTACGGTAGGTAACTGTTTCTAATTAGTGATATAGACAGACGACAGTACCTATGTAGATGTGATGTTATTTCGTCGTTTTGCTTTTGCTCAGTAGTCAAGTTTGGACTATGCTCACTTGTCGTCTTTTAGAGTTGCCTCCATCCCCGGCCTATCACTGTGGTAACACGGAGGTTTATGACAGGCATTACTTTCATAGTAGATCTACAACGCACCGCCCGCGGAAGAACTTCTGGGAGCAATAATTTTGCTAATCAGAAATATTGAAAAGGAATAGTTCAAGGACCACTATTCCAAGTGAAGCGAGGATACCGTTTTAAAGTGAACACGGTTTGCTGTAGGTATCCGTTTGAATAGACTCTTGACTCAGAAAGTCACAAAACGGATTTCTTAGTACAAATTGTCTTCACGCCATCCTTTTTTTTTCCACTTCCTACCTCTGTGCTGAACGGGTTTGTACTGCTAGATATTGAAATTCCTCTTGTGCTAATGAGATACATTCGAAGAACAGGACCTTATTAGGAGATTTCTGTTGCTCTCGTTCCTTTCAGTAATACTACTAGTCTTATTTTGAATTATCAGCCATAGAGTTGATTAAATTGGATGTCACTCAAGAGACCGAAATGAATTGCCTTGTTAATGCGAAGACAAATAGCTCAAAGTATAGTAATAACTTTACAAACAGGTACAATGTTAACAGGTTGTGAATAGCCAGATAGTTCTTAAATACACCAAATACACCTTGACTGCAGTTGCCGTGACCAATATTCCCATTATCAACATGCCCGTTGCAATTGGGTTAGTTCACTCCACTAGAAACTCAGAAGCAACAAAGCTAGGCAGCACCGCTACTTTGGCTTTGTCGCAGAAATCCCAGGCAAATTGGCTGCTGATCCCGTAGCCTGTGAATGAGTTACATCTCCGTTCGATTCAGGCTTCTCATCCAATTCCATAGCTTCAGATTTCTCAGCTGGATCCTTAAACATGATTCATTTTTGTGTTATATCCATGTGTAAGAATAAGCCTATAAAAAGCCTCTACCTACTCTTCCTAAGTGGTGAAGTATACAATGCTATGCATCAGCAAAAGAGGTCTCCCTTTCTTTGTTAACCAATGGAGGATCAAGCGAAATTTTAGGAAATCCACTAACCGGAATTACCACATTTCCAGCAGGAAACATCTCAAATAGGTTCTGCATCAGCATATGAGTTCGTGTCTTTTGGAAATGTGTACTCCGCGCTTGAAGTGGTTTTTCTTCCTCTGACTGAAAATGGTAAGTAAAACAGATTTCGGCAGGGCTTAAGAAAGCGCATAACGGCGAGTACCAACCTTTTCATCCTCTCGTTTCATAGTTGGTTTCTTGTCAAACTGCCAGTAGTAGCCTTTTGCTACGTTATATCTGTTCTTTTCTCAGAATAAATATGTCGAAAACAATGGAGGTGGAGAATTCAAATCACAAAGAAGGCCGATGAAGAAAAACGGTGGTAATTCTCACCGTGAATATTGTATGACGTGGTCGAAGGCGTTTTTTAACGGTTCCACAGCTCCTAACAGTCGAGATTGCACAAAAGTGTACACATCGGGAGCCTGATAGACTGTTCCATTAATGATGTAGTAGTATGCAAGTGGCGTCACTGCAAAATTTCTGCGGTAATACTGTTCTTCTGTTGTTTCCCATTAAAACATGATAAAAAACTAGAAGCTTTCGGCGTTGATCATTTACAGACGGATGCGCCAAGCATTCGACTTCATTAAGCATCGTTTGTTGGTGATTGAATGCATATCTGACCTTTACAATGACTCGAGGTGGCCTACCGATGTATCGAGTCAATGCTGCTAACCTCGCAGACAAGTCTGGTACCAATTTGCCGACCCCGGAGGGATGGAAGGCTTGGTGAACTAAGGGCGCGGGAGTCGATCCCATATGTATTGCAGGGCGACTGTGACCACTGCGCCACACGCGCCTTTACTAAAACATGATCCAAAATAATGCAGGTGTGAGATCTTGATGCGCTATCACCAGCGACTTTGTACTATGTATAAACGCATAGCGTTCCTTCATTTAACTTCTTGGGTATTTTTAAACACATCCGCGATCGCATGGGTTTTTTGAAAACAGTGAAAGAAAAACCTCGATAACTAAAGGAACTAAAAGAGAAGAAACTGGAGAACTAAGTTATTAGACTTAAAAGAGAGAAATAGCTTCTGAAATACTGGCACCAGCGCGACAATCATAGTCATCGACTCTCACTTGGGAGCACTTTCACTCCTTTGCTCTGCTGTTTATGTTGCTCACCTCGACAAAAGAAAGGACCGTTTGTGTGATTTAAAAGATTGCAACTTCACTTCTATAGATTTAAAAAGAGGATTTCATATTAGCTGAGAAAAGTTTGATCAAAGTTGAGAAGAGCAGCTATTTCCGAGCACATGCGTATTGGAATCAATACACATTATCACAAATGTCTCGAAACTACTAGTTAACCATTTATATCATTCCTGAAGAATGTAAATTGCGCATAATGTCATCCTTATCCTAGCGAATTGCTTTGATTTGGATAAAGTACTACATTTGTGCTATAGGATTGACGTGAACCTCTCTGTTGAACATTTGAGGAAGTGGTTTTAAAAAAAGTGAAGTAGAAAATCCTGCTCACCATTTTGCACATTGTTTCGACGATGCTTACAAATTACATATAAAGGAGGTTGAGCACTCCACAAAACATACTGTATACCTGTCATCGATCTGAAATTACTACTACAATAAGACAATCATTAGTTTTCTCAAAAACTACTGAGTACTTAAGAAAAGTACTTCCTGTACTTTTCAAAGAACTGCGTAAAAAGTGCTGCTTGTACTTCCTAATAAGTACTTAGCAATAGCAATACAACATATATATATTCTTCCTTCCATATGTTTACACGAGGCTGATAAATGACATCTATTTTCGGCTAACGTTTCGACGTCTTCATCTTCATCAGAGCTGATCGGCTATCGGTTCGTCTCTGACAAAGACGAAAGCGTCCAAACGTTTGCCGAAAATAAAGGTCATTTATCAACTTCGTGTAAGATTATCAAAGAAGTAATACATATTTAGACCCAGTTTAAAGGAAAGTCGGTAGGAAAAGAAAGGGAACATACAGCAGACATTCTTCCAGGGGGCGTGATATGTTCTGCATACGCACGTTCTCGTTACATGAGCTCTTGTCGTAGAACGCATTGTCTGAGTTACAAAAATACTCGAGAGCGTTCTCAGGAGTGATAAAATTTGCCGGCCAGTTCGGATTCTTGAAAGTGATGTGGAGAGGATTCGGCCTTACAACTAAATCAAAGTCAACCTAAATCTTACAGCACGCCGAAAACTTGAACACATCCTCAGTAAAAGTACTATTACAGCCGGAAAAGCGTATACCTGGTGGACCTGGGCGAATAGAATTCATTCTACGTTCTGAAATTTTCGATGATAACTCTGGAGGACAAGGTGATAGAAGTCTATAAGGGACATTTGGTAAAACAAAGCCACTCAGTTGTAGTTCGAAACCACAAATATTACATTTTATTAAAGACCGTCACAATATTGAACAAAACTATGAAATTCAAGACGAGCTGAATTTCAGATGTAATAAGTTGAGAGCGCAAAAAAGGACAAATCCATTGACAGGACACGGTCATGTCTAAAATCTCATCTTTGCATCAAAATTGAGATAGTCTGATGGGTAGATTCTCTCATCTCTCCCAAGAATCATATCCCAGTGGAGACGAGATGATTCAAATATACCATCTGGACCACGATTAATTTGTGACGCCGAATTTAGCTCTCTGAATATTGAAAGATCGGTGGTGAATTAAGGAGAACCTTAGACCAAACAATTTACAGTAGTAGTTGCTCGGCGTAAGCAGTCCCCGAAAGCATCCGTTGTGCGTTTATGTAGTCAACGACTCGATCACGAATCCGTGAATCCTCGGACGCCAGTTCATGCGGAACAGCTGATGATGTCTAAAGTAATCAATAATAATAAAACCACATATGTAAATGTTAGAAACTCATAATGACAGTAAGCATCAGAATGAAACAAAGCTACGGACGTTTTTTGGAGCCTCTAAGTTGAGTTTTGAAGCCAGTGGCATTTGTTGGAAGCATTCGTCTTCTGGGGGAGTTGTCTTCGTGAGAAGATCAGGTTGACGAGATGACAAACGAAGGAGAGCCATTGCTGTATAGCAGAAGCTTAGCTGAATGGTGACTGTTTAAATATGTATTTGAAACGAATAAAATCCCGAATTTTAAAAAAAAAAGTGAGAAGACGGGATTGGCAGGTGGAAGCGCTTGACGACAACGTACAAAAAAACCAACTATGGTATTCAGAAAGTATAACGAAAACCACAAAAATGGAAGGAAAGTCGCAATATCCGCCTCTCCCCGAGCAAATCTGATGAGAATTTGGCACCTGAACTGTGTTCTGTAATTGTGCGTCAATTTCGCTATGGTCTCCGAACATTACGGACAATTGTTGGATAGTCGTTGTGCTCAATCAGTAGTGGTCTACTTTCAAATGCTGCCATTACTTGTTACTTTATCGACAAGAAGATAAAAGGATAAAGGATAAAGCTTTCGGCGTTGTTCAATGAGGGATGTGCCATGCATTCGACTTCATTGAGCATCGCTAGAGGTGAATGAATGCATATCTGACCTTTAGAATGACCCGCAGTGGCTTACTGAAGCATCGAACCAGTGTTGCTTCCTCTTAGGCGAGTCTGGTACGAATTTGCCTACTCCGGAGGGATGAAGGGTTTGGTGTGCCTGGGCGCGTGTAGGGCGCCTCTGACCACTGCTCCACACAGGCCATCAACAAGTTGATAACTTCAATGATGCTGAGATATTTGCCTCCGGACCGCCGATGTCTGCTATGGGGAACGAACGCGCTATTGTCCATTCCGGGGAGTAGCGCGTTCACCACCGCACCATGCGGGTTCTTCATTTCGCCTGTCTCTCAGCTATCTCTATCGATCTTTGCCACAGCAATCACCCATTAGCTGGACTGATCGGCATGGTGTGGTGGTGAACGCTTTACTACCCGGAAAGGATAATAGCGCGTTCGTTCCCGGCCGCATACACCTGCGGTCCGGAGTTTTGCAAATATCTCAGCAAGTTTTTTCGAGAAGTTGTTGATCATGCAATTACCGAAGAGTTTCTCGTCTTTTTGTAAGTGTTATTGAAGCGTTTGGCCTAGTAGATTGTACATCAGCATACCCTTCCAGGCTCTGAAGAAGGCGATACTGCCGAAACGTCAGCTACTGTTGTATTGTATTGTTTTTTCTGTGGAAGTAAATGTATGCTGTTTAAAAACCTCGCGATTGCTGAACAAGAAAACGACACATTCATATCTCAGCATCATTGAAGTTATATTTCGCAATATACCCTTCCATTAAAAAGAGTAAAATTAAAAAAACGGTTAAGATGGATAACGTTTTAAGACGGTTGAAGTTGGAAACTGAGCACTCTCAGTCTTCCTACTACTACTTGTCGGTTGAGGGTTAGTATTAACAAATAGTTCGAAGTAAGTAAGTTAACATTGTGATTTCGACAACAACCTCAGCTTGCCTGGAGTGGGTGACTCGCTATCGTTTTTATTGTTGTTGCCGCCATAGTATTAGGTCATATCTGGCTAGAGATCAATCATTATCAAAAGACATATTGAATAAAGTTACTATAATATTATTTTCTACTAGATGACGCTTATTGGTCGACTTGTCGACACCTAGATTCAATGACGATTCGTGCTCTCCGGGTCAATCCCGTTGACGGATGATTGCTGATGGCATCGTTACGGTAAAAGGACTGGCTGACAGGAAGACAGAGTGAGGGCATCTGTGGTGCAGTGGGTAACACGTGAGCGCCCAGAAAGGGTATTTGCTTTTCGATCTGGCTTGCGGTCCAAGTTTTGCAAACGGTTCAGCGTCATTGTGATTCCAAGTTGACGAAATTAACAATAATCTTAAGTTTGCACTCTATTTGCAAGGATTTTACCTACAAGTTTAAACCCTCTCGAAACCTTGCCGTACCAACTTCGTTGATAGGAGTGTCATTAAATTCGGCACTACTCTTTGAGTCATCTGGCTCAGTACTGTGTTCACTTCCGCAGTCTTGCAGGAAAAGTAGACAAACACCAATTTTTGTTTTAAAAGAAGTAACGGTAAACGTGCATCAGAAGATAAAGCGACCAACTTAACTGATGTGAGAGGAGCAGATTTCCAGAGAAACGGACCACCCATTTTCGAAAAATCTCAAATTGATTGAAAAAAGTGTCAAAAATAATGGCCGATTTTGAGCTGCAGCTGTGAAACGCTGCAGATCTTCTCCATCACAATTTCAAAGGTCGAATTCAAGAGTGATTGGAGACTACTTTTCGCTAACACGGTATAAGTTCAGTTATTCCGTCGGCTTATAACGCTGAAGCTTTGGAACCGGTACGGTAGTCCGAAGAACCGTCACAATATTCATCGAGAGAACGAACTCGTCCTAACATTAGCTCTAGGCGTGCTGTTATTTGTAGAAGCTTTTCCTGAGTCATATTCTTCAGTTGAAGGGAAGTTGTCGATTTATTAACAACAATATCGTAAAGAATGTTGCACGGCAAGGAAAGACAAGTTTTATGTGTTCTATATAACAACTCTAAGCTTATCAGTAGACCAGAACGTAGGACCAAATCAGTTGGTAGTTGACTCCTTTCAGATATCTAAATTCACAATGCTCTTCGTTTTCACCCAGTAACCCAATTTGATAAAGATGTTTATTGAATAACCTGAAAAATAATCAACAGGGACTCAGTAGTCAGTAAATCGAGGTGCCTTGAGTTGAATGGCTTGAGTTTAAGATGAGATGTATGTGGTGTAGGGGTTAGAAACCCTCTACAATACACACACGATCGCCGGTTCGATTTTGCCCCACTGATTAGTTTCACATTTTCCGCTGTCATCATATTGGTTATAGCTGATTTACGTTTCGGCCGTTTATTTTACCACATAGAGCTTTCCCCATTTTTATTTTCAGATTCATTTTTTAAACTAATCCCCAGCTTTATCCCTTCTATACCTCCCATCATTTTTTGATGTCGTGTTTGAGTTTATGCCGCTCTTCGGGTATGTAGTATTTTCATCGTTACCACGATGGTTACAAAGTAGGTCTTCGTTAAGACATTCTGATCTGTTCACTCTGGACGAATTAAACGCTTTAATGATTCGTATAGCCTTCTTTTCTTTGGATGTTCCCATTCTTTCGCTGACGAATGAAGAAACGTTAGGAAAAAGCTTACAGTGTGTGAAATTCTCCCACAGTCTTATAACCGCCTACATCTAGTTAGATGCTTGAGTAGAACAAGCTCTAAACACTTCCGTCTATCTTGAAGGCGTTTCTCCTATACGGCGTTTGCGACCTCTCGATGCTATTTCCACTATTCCTTTCGTCATAACACATTGTAAAGCCAGACATAACCTTTGGGTAACACTTATTCAGTTTTTTTCATGGATTTACTACTGTCTTAGTTGAAATGGAGATTGCAAAGGCTCCCAGTAGTATACACACCCGGACGAGCCAACTACTCAATGAGGTATATTTGTGCATCCATTAAAAGCAGAAGCATCAAGCACAGTGGTTGAAGCTACACTGCAGCACATACAACACTGTCATTTCGATTTCAAATGTCAGGTTGACCACATGTAGCATTCCTTCAGAGTCAGCAAATTGCTACTGGACTTGTCTGGATAGAGGCTTTGATTGGAGACACCGTTAGGCTCTTCCAATTCGTTATATAGACCAAATATGGATACAACCAGCACCACGGTGTTACAAATGATGTCGATTGCATAACATATTCTTTGTAGGCTAATCAAATCCAAGCACTTTACCCATTGATCTACTACGAATGAATCTAAAACCCAAATCTACGAATTATTCTAAGCATCTGTCATCGGTAAAAACATTGTGCACTAGAATTGATCATTGCAAAAACAATACTATTTCTATGGGTGTCAAAGTGGTCTCAAAATCCTTTATGAAAATGATAAGCTTAGGACAATTAGTGGATAGCATTATGAAGAAAAATGAAGCTTTCATTGCGATCATACCCAGTAACTGCTAGCGTACACCAGAAAGAATAGCCGAAAATAAGGATGAGGACACCGTGGTTTTCTATCAAGCTTTCAAGTGAACAACTGCATAGTATTATTCGCAGTTGTTCATCTCAACTTCAGGATTTCCAGTTTTATTGCTTAGTATCTTCTCATGAAAATGGATCGGCATAGTCTCGTTATTAGAAGCTCCGACCATCTGCCGAGTGCTGACTTGTAATCATCGGAAAACATGGGAGCACATGCAACATTGAACTGTCTCCGTGAGACAATGGAACAAATCACCTCCTTCTGCTGTCGTCCTGTTGATCGATTCAGCTGGCGCCGGCAAATCTTCTATGTTGCCCTGCAGCGTGTAAGAGTTGCCTAGTCGGCTCTACTGGCTCGGCGGACTCGTTGAGCATCATATCTTTCTTCTAGGCGCTTCGCGAAGAACTCTGGCCTTTGGATCCGTGGTCTTCCTGTTGTTTTACATCCCGAGGAATCCAGTCACTAACGGCTCTTGCCCATCGGTTGTCATTCATACGCATTACGTGTCCGGCCCACCTTATCTTCGACAGAACACAGTACATCGTTCGGCGTACAGAACAGCATCTTTGATTTTTGATCGTTGACGCAGGTCGGAGCTTCGGATCCCAACCCTTGCTTGTGTGAAACGGGATACTCCTATCATCGTGAATGACTTTTCATTGCCTTTCTGGACGTCATGATTGTTCCGTCAGGTCGTCGGAGTGCAATCTTGGCTTTCTAACTGCCGAAGCTTCGGTGGGCTTTGCGAATGCTTTTCTCAGCCTCTGCAGCTTTGACCATTACTGCTGCTCTTCGCTCTTTAAGATATTCTTTTATCGCCTGTTCGAATTGTTTTGCACGTTCGGACGTGAGTTGGTGGTTGTCTGCAGCTCGTGCAATTCCACGCTGGCGTATCAGCGCGAATGTTTCTAGGGACATAGATCCTTTGGTGACCTTCGAACTCTAAGCTTTCATAGTGCTACTATGAAGATGTTGAATGAGCCGATCGTATTCCTCGTCGATGTTATCAATAGCGGCATCCTCCCAAGAGCCGAATAATGGTATAAAAAAATCGC